AAAAATGACAGAAAACTTCCCTAACTTGGTGAAGGAAATAGACACACAAGTCCAGGAAGCACAGAGAGTCCCAAACAAGATGAACCCAAAGAGGTCCACATGAAGACACATCATTATCAAAATGCCAAAGGTTAAAGACAAAGAGAGAATCTTAAAAGCATTAAAAGAAAAGCAGTTAGTTACCTACAAGGGAGCTCTCTTAAGACTGTCAGTTGATTTCTCAAAAGAAACATTGCAGGCCGGAAAGGAGTGGGCAAGAGATATTCAAGGTGATGAAAAGCAACGACTTACATCACCTTGCAAAGCTATCATTTAGAGTCTATGGACATATAAAGATATTCCCAGACAAGGAAAAGCTAAAGGAGTTCATCACTATCGAACCAGTATTATATGAAATGTTGAAGGGTCTTCTTGAAGGAGAAGAAGAACAAAATTATGAACAATGAATTGGCAATAAGTACATATCTATCAACAGTTGAATCTACAAACAAAATGAGCAAGCAGAACAGAAGCAGACTCGTATATACAGAGTACTTTTTGTTGCTTGCCAGATGGGCAGGGGCTGGAGGGATGGGTGAAAAAGATGAAGGAATTAAGAAGTTCAAATTGGGTGTTAGACTGATGAACCTCAAAGGGAAGGTGGGGGGGATGAGATAAATCAGAGAACTTCTATGCACATATGCATAACCAATGGACACCGACAATAGTGTGGGGAAGGCAGGAAGGGGGCAGGAGTGGGGAGAGGGGGTCAATGGGGAATAAAGGGGTATATCTATAATACATTCAACAATAAAGATGAGTTTTAAAAATATATGTGTGTATCTATAATACATTCAACAATAAAGATGAGTTTTAAAAATATATGTGTGTGTGTTCACAGTTCACTGGCATTTAGTACAGTCAGAGTATTGCACAACTGCCATTTCTTTCTAGTTTCAAGGTTTTTATCACCCCAGAAGAACACTCCTATCCATTTATTAATCAGCCCCACAATTTCTCCTTCCCCCATGCCCTGGCAACCACTAATCTGTTTTTCTGCCCCTATAAATTTGCCTATTCTGAACATTTTCTATAAGTGGAATCATACAGTATGTGACCTTTTATAATCGGTTTCTTTCACTTAGCATAATGTCTTTGAAGTTCATCCAAAGATACATGTACCTTTTACTTTTATTTTTTTTAATCCTCCCTCGAGGACATTTTTGCATTTATCATCAGATAGAGTGGGAGGGAGAGAGGGAGGAAGAGAGAGAGAGAAACATTGATGTGAGAGAGTCAGATCAAGTGGTTGCCACCCACATGACCCCAATTGGGGCTGGAGACAAACTGCAACCTAGGTACGTGCCCTTAGCGAGAAGTGAACCCGGGACTCTCTAGTCCATGGGCTGACGCTATAACCACTGAGCCAAACCTACCAGGGTGCAAAGATACATGTACCTTTTGATGGCTGAATAACACTCCATTGGTGTGGGGTTTTTATTGATTTTTTGGAGAAGAGTGAGAGAAACATAGATGTGAGAAGGAAACATTGATCGGCTGCCTCCCACACACCCATACTGGGGATCAAGCCTGCAACCTGGGCATGTGCCCTGGCCAGGAATTGAACAGGGACTTCTCAGTCCATGGGATGACGCTCAATCTACTGAGCCACACTGGCTGGGCAATATTCCATTGTTTGGATATGCTACAGTTTGTTTATACATTCATTCACTGATGGATATTTGGACTGTTTCTAACTTTTGGTTATAATGCTGCTTTGGACATTCATGTACAGGTTTCTTGCAGACATATAATTTCATTTTCCCAGAATCTATATCGAGTATTAGAATTGCTGGCTCATATGATAATTTTATGTTTAACTTTTTGAGGAACCACCAAACTGTATTTCATAGCAGCTATACCATTTTATATTTCTGCCAGCAATATGCAAAGCTTCCAATTTCTCCACATCCTGACCAACACTGATTTTCTGATTTTTTATTAGTCATTGTCAACTGAAAAATAATATCAATCTGGTATTTCATCACCAAAAAGGATTTATTCAAGATAAAAAAGGATTTCAACTCAGTGCATGCAGACATGGCAAACCAGGTGCACTCTCTGGCCTGCTTGCCAAGTTGTAGGGGTATTTTTAGAAGGGAAAAGGAAGTTAAGGGAAGGGGAAATTAGAACCACAGAGCTTTATTATAAATATTGAGTGCTTCCTGTAGGGTTCTCTCAGTTATGTAGAGTGCAAGAACTTCCATAAGCCCCAGCTCCTCCCATAGACCTTCCCAACTGCTGTGTTACTTAAAGTTCTGGTTAGTCTTTATTGTCAGCCTAGTGTGTTTGATACAGTACTTCATTGTAGTATGTTGCATTTCCCTAATGGCTAATGATGTTGAGTGTTTTTCCATGTGTGTGTTTGTTCATTTGTTTCTCTTTTTTGGACAAATGTTTATTCGAATCCTTTGCCTCCCCGCTTTTTTTTTAAAAGAATAGTTCATTGATTTTAGAGAGAGAGGAAGGGAGAAGAGAGAAACATGATGCGAGAGCACATCAGTGGGCTGCCTCCTGCACCCCCATACAGGGGATCAAGCCTGCAACCTGGACATGTGCCCAGACCAAGAATGGAATCAGCAACCTTTTGGTACACGGATGCCACCCAACCAACTGAGCCACAAATGCCAGGGCCCTTTGCCCATTTTTAAATTGGATTGTTTGTCGTTTTATTGTCGTAAGAATTCTTTATATATTCCAGATAGTAGACTCTTATCAGACATAATATGCGAATGTTCTCTCTCATTCTGTAGGTTGTCTTTTTACTTTGTTGATAATGTCCTTTGATGCACAAAGGCTTAAATTTTTACCAAGGTCATTTTACTTATTTTCATATTTGTCGCTTATCTTTTGGTGTCACATCTAAGAATCCATTGCCAAATTCAACGTCATGAAGATTTACTCCCAGGTTTTTTACTTAAGAGTTTCACAGTTTTAGCTCTTATTTTTAGGTCTTTGATCTGTTTTGAGTTGATTTTTTAAAATATGTTTGTATTGCTCTGGCCAGTTTTGCTCAGTAATTAGAGTGTTGGCCTGTGGACCAGAGGGTCACAGGTTCAATTCCACTGTCTAAAAAAATATATATGTGTGTGTGTATGTACATGTGTGTGTGTTTTATTGATTTCAGAGAGAGGAAGGAGAAGGAGAGAGAGAGAAACATCCATGAGAGAGAAACATTGATTGCCTGCCCCCTGCACGCCCATACTGGGGATCGTGCCCGCAACCAGGGCATGTGCCCCGACTGAGAATAGAACCAGTGACCTCCTGGTGCGTGCAGCTGAGTCGCATGTGGTATAATGTAGGAGTCCAGCTTCATTCTTTTGCATGTGGATGTTCAATTTTTCCAGTACCTTTTGTTGAAAAGACTTTTCTTTCCCCACCGAAAGGTCCTGACACCCTCTGTGAAAAATCATTTGTGTCCATTGATGGATAAAGAAAATGTGTATATTATTCATCCATAAACAAAGAAAGAAATACTGCCATTTGTAACAACATAGATGGACCTTGAGTGTATTATGCTAAGTGAAATAAGTCAAAGAATTACAAATACTGTATGATTTTATCTAAAATCATAAAAAAAAAAGCCAAACTCATAGAAAACAAAGTAGAATGGTAGTTGCCAGGGGCCGGGGAATGGAGGAAATGGGGAAATGTTGGTCGGAGGGTACAAACTTCCAGTTAGAAGATTGTAAGTTCTGAGGGTCATCTGATACATCATCGTGACTATAACTAACAATATTGTATTATGTAAGAGGGTAGATTTAAAATGTTCTCACCACACACACAAAAATTGTAATCTTGAGAATTGATGGATTTGTTGACTAATCTTTTTGTGGTTATCATTTTGCCATCATATGTGTATCAAAACATCAGGTTATACACCTTAAACTCACACAATGCTATATGTCAGTTATATCTCAAGTTAGGGGAAAGATCAGTTGACCATAGGTATTTGGGTTTATTTCTAGACTCATTCCTATTGCATTGATTTATATATCTCTGTTTTTGTGGCAGTACTACAGTTTTTTGATTAATAAAACTTAATGTCAATTGTAATTGAAAAGTAAAAACAAAATTTTGTAATAGGTTTAAAAATAGGGATGTGTGAATCTTTCCTTTCTTAAAAAGTCTTTTTAAAAAGTCTTTCCTTTTTTAAAAAGTCTTTCCTTTTTTAAAGATTTTGGCTTTTTGGGGGTCTCTTGCATTTCCATGTGAATTTTGTTATCAGTTCTTTTCTGCAAAAGAAGCAGTTGGGATTCTGATCGGGGTTAGTTACATTGACTCTCTAGACCACTTTAGGAAGCATTGCCATCTTAATATCAAGTTTTCTGATCTATAAACATGGGATGTCTTTTTCTTTAATTTCTTTTAATGATGTTTTGTAGTTTTCAGTGTACAAGTCTTTCACCTACTTGGTTAAATGTATCCCTGGGTATTTTATTCTTTATGATGCTTTTCAAACGGAGTTGGTTTTTTAATTTCCTCTTCAAATTGTTTATTGCTAGTGTGTAGAAACGTGATTTTTGTGTGTGGATCTTGTACCTTGCAACTTTGGTGAATTTTTGTATTAGCTTTGATAGTTTTTTGTAGATTCTATAGTATTTTCTATATGTAGTATCATGTCATTTGTTAATAGAGATCATTTTACTTCTTCCTATCCATCTGGATACTTTTATTTCCTTTTTTGTGAGTAATTGCTTTGGCTAGCACATCCAGTACAGTGTTGAATAGCAATGATGAAAGTGGGCATCCTTGTGTTGTTCCTGATCTTAGGGGATCATTTTTAGTGTCTCACTAAGTATATGATACTAGCTCTGCGTTTTTGATAGTTAACCTTTATCAGTAAGGAAGTTCCCTCTATTTCTAGTTTTCTTGGGTCATTTTATCATGAGACATTGACTTTTTAAAGGCTTTGGCTTTTTAATACAGAAACTTTTGATCATGTGTTTTATTCTGACCAGTGTTGATTCCTAAAGAAAAGCCCCCAATCACAGTTGTTGGTGATGTGGGAGGAAGGATCGCCATCATTGTGGTATGTAAACTTCTTTCATTATTAATTGTTTTATTTACCATGTTATTTTTTAACATATTTGTTAATTGTGTGGGGTTAGTGCTATGTCCAGGTACATCTCATTTGAGTTGTTGCCTTGCACTAAATGTTGATGTTGGTCCAAAAATAGAAAATTGTTATCATTAGTATATTAAGAAATCGTTAAATACTTTGTTAACTAAATAGTGTGCAGCTGTTTGTTATAACATGAGAAATTGTTTTGTGATCAAAATAGGATTATACAAAATTGATTGTAACTATTTAAGACACACATCCTCTCACACTTCAGCAAACCAGTGTACAAAAGGAATACATTTAATGCCTATATAGTTTAAACAAGAATAAAATAAACACATGGGTACTCCCTACTCCGCTTGGAAACAGAATCTTGTCGAGTAAGGGCCCTTGCAGGGCCTCGGGGCTTTTCCCTGGTCTCTCTCCTCTCTTACCCCCAGAGGTTGCCACCACCCTGAAGGTTGTCACTCATGCCCTTGCTTGTCCTTTTATTCTACCATGAGTATGTGTGTCCCTAAACACCATACTGTTTTGTTTTGTATGGTTTTGATGTTTATATAATGATGTTTGTATACTTTGTGACTTGTTGTTCTCACTGTTTTTGAGATTTCTTTGTGTAGCACATTATTCTTTTTCACTGTACAGTGAGTCATGATATAACTATTACACAACTTATTTGTTCTCTGGGCATGGAACATACATTTTTTTCTATTCCCACATAATACTGCTTTGAACATTCTTGCACTTGTTTTCTGGTGCAAGACTTTCTCGGTGGAGAAAGCCTGCAAGTGGAGTTGTTCAGTTTGAAAATGCACATGCTTCCAACTTGACTAGGTGTGCCACACTGTTCCCACAGCGGTCGCACCATTATCATGCCTCCAGAGTGGGAGTGCTTGTTATTTTGTTAGAAAATCCCTGTCGTCACTCTATAGGGTAATAGCTGTCTATTAATTAATTTCTTAATTAACAAAATCTGTAGTAACAAAATTCAATAGCACTTTTTCCCCTTTCTACTGCAACTGCATTTTAAAAAATTTGTAAACCTTTTTATTTTGAAGTAAGTATAGATTCATAGGAACTTCAAAAACAAACAATAAACAAGGAGGTCTTGCATATACCCAATTTCCTGATTTTTGCTTAACTGTGGTATAGTAACACAATCTAGAAATTTATATCGCCACTCCATAGAGCTGCTTCAGACAGCACCGGGGTTATGTGTCTGTAGATATGTGCAGTCTTCTCACACATGTAGCTTTGTGCAACCGCCACTGCAATCGGTACGGAACTATCTCATCACAAAGCTCCCTCGTTCTACCCCTTTTTACACCCACCTCCTCCCCACTTGATCCCTAACTCTTGTGTGTCCTCTGTCTCTATATTCGTGATTTCAAGAAAATCTCATCAGTGGAATATACAGTATGGAACCTTTTGAGATGGACGTTTCTTGCTCAGCAGGATTGCTGGAGAGCATCTAGGTTTGTCTGTCGATAGCACTTTCCTTGCCGAGCAGCTCTCCCTGCCTGTAGCCCGCAGCTTGTTGAGGCACTCACCTGTTGAAGGAAACTTGGATGTTGCCAGCTTTTCGCTATTAGAAATAATGCTGCTCTGCACATGTATGTATGGGGTTTTGTTTTTTGTGTTTTTTTAATCCTCACCCAAGGACATTTTTCCATTTTTTGTTCAGATAGAGTGGAAGGGGGAGAGAGAGAGAGAGAGAGAGAGACAGAAACATCAACATGAAAGGGACACATCGAGTGGCTGCCACCCGCACAACCCAACCAGAGCCCTTAGCGGGAACCCAACCCAAGTCAGTCTGGACCGCAGGCCAACACTCTAACTGCTGAGCCAAAATGGCCAGGGCAGTGTGTATGGTTTTTTTGTGTGAACAGAGTTTTGATTTTTCTGGGATAAATGACCAAAAGTGCAGTTGTTGTGTTTCATGGTAATTGCAAGTTTAGTTTTACAAAAACCTGTCAAACTATTTTTCAGAGTGGTTGTACCATTTTCCCAGTTGTGCTTTTAAAATAATATATATGTATGTATGTATATTTTTACTTTGATCATAGTAATATCAATATATATTTGAGAAGAGTTTTGTACACACACACATATACACACTGGGTGGGCAAAAGTAGGTCTACAGTTCATATGGAAAATAATACAATAATAAATAATGCAAAAATAAACTCTGTGTTTCACATACTCATAGCTGAAAACCTACTTTTGCCCTACCCTGTATATAAAATACATGAATATTTATTCAACCCTAGGCAATGCTTGATACCCTAATGAACTTAAAATAACTGGTAGGCTGGGTATAATAGGAAAGAATCTGTTATCCTCCTCTGTGTTTCTCTCCTGTGTATGTTCTTTACTGTTCACATAAAACACTTCACTTCTGGTAACTGGATGTGTGGAGATTTTTCCCCACATCGAGTAATTCTCTGCTACAGTTTAACTCAGACACTATCTACCTGGAGACAGTGTCAGATCCCACAGGTTAAGGGCTCAGTCCCAGGAGACTGCCCCCACCCCATTTCAGATGCTGTTCACAACTAATAGGTTACCCACAACTTCTATACAATTGGTTGCAGATTGGAGGTTCCCATGACCCCCTCATTGGTTGGATTACTTTGCTAGAGCAGCTAACATAACTCAGGGAAACACTTATGTTTATAAGTTCATTAAAGGATATGATAAAGGACACAGGTGAAGAGATACATAGGGTGAGGGCTGGGAGGGTCCCGAGCACAGAAGCTTCTGTCCTTGTGCAGTTGGGGTGCGTCACCCCTCAGTGTGGATGTGTTCTCCATCCTGGAAGCTTCCAGAACCCCGTTCTTTTAGGATTTTCATGCAGCTTCCTCACATAGGCATGATCGACCATTAACTCCATTTCCAGCCTCTCCCCTCTCTGGAGAAGGGGGGCAGGGTGGAAAATTCCAAGCTTCTAATCATGGCCTGGACTCTGGTGCCCAGCCCCATCCAGGAGCCACCCAAGAGCCCACCCAGATTCTCCTCATTAGAACAAAAGGCAGCCCTACCACCCAGGAAATTGCAAGGGTGTCAGCGATGTCAAAGGCCAATTATTAGAATAAAAGATGCTGCTGGTGCTCTTACCACTTAGCAGTTTACCAGGGTTTCAGGGGGCCTGAATATTTTTTTTTCTGTTATCCTCACACTGGGAATCTGTGATCCATAGATTAGAAACCTCTGAAAGGGTACATTGTTAATAATTACTGTTTTTTGCATTATGAAAACGTAAAAAGCATGTTTCCCATGTGCCCAGTAGAGAAAATTTGGAAAATAAAGAAAAGAAGAAAGAACCACCCAGACTCAAAGCATCTTTTAAGTTTTACTGTGTGTGTGTTTTTTCTTTATTGATTTTAGAGAGAGAGAAAGGGAGAGGGAGAGACAGATAGAAACATTGATGAGAGAGAACATCGATTGGCTGCCTCCTGCGCGCCCCGCACTGGGGATTGGGCTCACAACCTGGGCATGTGCCCTGACTGGGAATCGAACCAGCGACCTCTTGGTGCATAGGTCGACACTCAACTACTGTGCCACACTGGCCGGGCTACTGTGTATTTAAAAAATATTTTTTAAAAAAATTAGTGAACATATATACGGTACACCTGCATGGTGCGCACCCAGTCTGGACATAGGGATGCAGAGTGGAGTCCCGGGAGCACCACGTGTGAGAGAGACGCCTGAACAGGACAGGGCTGCGGGAGCCCTGCTGTGCCTGGCCTGGAGGGAATGCAGTGGGGGCAGCCCTGGCTGAGTTGTCTGGACATGTTGAAACGGAACAGCAAACTCATTATCATAGAATTAGACCCTTTCTTTTGCCTGGTTGTCTAAACCCTTTACAAAAGTGTTCATGTACATTTTGCTTAATCTGTAATTTGACAGGATGACATTATCGATGATGTTGACAGCTTTCTTGCTGCAGCGGAGACCCTGAAAGAAAGAGGTGCATATAAGATCTTCGTGATGGCAACTCATGGCTTGTTATCTTCTGATGCTCCCCGACTGATTGAAGAATCTGCCATCGACGAGGTAACAGAGCCAGCCTGTGTCAGGCATACCTGCCTTACCCTGCCCTTCCAGCACCTCCTGATCTGTAGTTACAGAGAGAGGTGAAGAAGGAGCTGTTCTGTACTTACGAATGGATTAAAAATGTGGGTTATGTTTGTGTTTCATTAACTGTAAGCCTCTGTCTTTTGCTCGTAGTAATAGTTAGTAGTTCTAATAACATTCATAAATGGGGCACATAGTCTGTGCTGGCACTGCCGGCTGCTGTGCACACAGCTCTGCAAGGGCCACGTCAGCACCCCTTTTAGAGAGGAGAAATTGTGCATCAGGAAAGGTAAGTGACTTTAGCCAGACAGTTAGTAGGCTGAACACTTGGGTTCAGACCTTAGTTTGCCTGATACCAAAGCCCGTCTCTCTCCCTAGTACTGCTGCCGTGACATGAAATTGGAAGAGGAAGGCCAGCAGGCGATTTTCCTCAGCTGCCTCTGGCTCCCATGTGGCAGAGGGAAGGCTGTCCAGGTTTACTGGCCCTGCTTTGTGCACCTCCCTTATTCTAGAGGCAGCCAGGAAACGGGAATATTGATTATATAAGTCACATTTTTATTATCTGTTAAGTAGAAGTGCTGTTCCTGTAGCTTCCTGGGTATTCAATCTTAAATTAGACTCCTTTTACTTTTCCAAGTCTCACATCTGTTTTGATTTTTCAATATGTTTTTATTGATTTTTTTTTTTTAGAGAGAGAGGAAAGGAGAGAAAGATAGAAACATCGATGTGAGCAAGAAACATTGATCGGCTGCCTCCTGCACACCCTCTACTAGGGATCGAGCTCACAACCCAGGCATGTGCCCTGACCGGGAATTGATCTGGGGGACCTCTGAGTCCATGGGATGGCGCTCAATCTACTGAGCCACACCAGCCGGGCCCAACTGCTACATCTTTACTCTTTTTTTTTTATTGATTAATTTTTGTTACAGATGTTTCTCCTTTTTCCCCCACTGACTCCCCCCTGCCCCTCTCCCACTGCCCCTTCCCCAGATTGTTGTCCATGTCCACTGTTCATGCACACATGCGTATAAGTTCTGTGATTCATCCTTCCCCCACCTCCCCACTCCTTAGGGGATTGTCAGTCTGTACCCCGCTTCCGCGTCTCTGGGACTACCCCATTCCTCAAACTGTTATGTTCATTATATTCCACAAATAAGTGAGATCATATGAAACTTGTCTTTCTCTGTTTGGCTTGTTTCACTTAGGATGATACTTTCCAGGACCCTCCATGTAGTCTCAAAGGATAAGAGATCTTTCTTTCTTACCGCTGCGTAGTACTCCATTGTGTATATGTACCACAGCTTTTTGATCCATTCGTCTACTGATGGGCACTTGGGCTGTTTCCAGATCTTAGCGATTGTAAATAGTGCTGCTACAAAGATGGGGGCACATATATTCTTTCTGATTGGTGTTTTATGCGTAGGGTATATTCCTAGAAGTGGGATCACTGGGTCAAATGGAAGATCAATTTTTAATTTTTTGAGGTGACACCATATTGTTTTCCATAGTGGCTGCACCAGTCTGCATTCCCACCAGCAGTGCACTAGAGTCCCCTTTTCTCCACACCCTCGCCAACACTTGTTGTTTGATGATTTGTTGATGGTGGCCATTCTGACAGGTGTGAGGCGATACCTCATTGTTGTTTTGATTTGCATCTCTCTGAGCATTTCTTCATATGTTTCTTAGCCATTTGTATGTCCTGTTTGGAGAGGTGTCTATTTAGTTCCTCTGCCCATTTTTTAATTGGATTCTTTGTCTTCCTTTTGTGGAGTTGTATGAGCATTCTATATGTATTGGAAATTAACCCCTTATCTGATATATCAGTGGCAATTATGCTCTCCCATACAGTGGGTAGCCTTTCCGTTTTGATGATTGTATCTTTTGCTGTGCAGAAGCTTTTGAGAGCTTGTTTGGAGGTTCTAGCAGGGGAGCGCAGCTACTCGTATACCCTTGACCGAAGACCGGTCCTCTCCTCTGGGGGGAAGGTCGTCCTCTTCGACCGAGCGCGCAGCTTCGGGAGGTACGAACATGGATCGGTTGAGGGAGGAGGGGGACACCCGCCTAGCCAGCCAGATCAGCCGAATCAACCCTGGCGTCAATGGGGTGACAGATGTCGCAGCCAGATCGCCCTCACATCCCAGAAGCTTTTGAGTTTGATGTAGTCCCATGTGTTCATTTTCTCCTTTGTTTCTATTGCCTTAGGTGATGTGTCAGTAAAAATTCTGCTGCGTATGATGTCTGACATTTTGTTGCCCACAGTCTCTTCTAGGATTTTTATGGATTCATGAGTTACATTTAAGTCTTTTATCCATTTTGAGTTTATTCTCGTGTAGGGTGTAAGTTGATGGTCTAGTTTCATTTTTCTGCAAGTAGCTGTCCAATTTTCCCAGCACCATTTATTAAAGAGGCAGTCCTTACTCCACTTTATGCTTTTGCCATCTTTGTCAAATATTAATTGAGCATATTGCCTTAGGTCCATTTCTGGGTTCTCTATTCTGTTCCACTGGTCTATATACCTGTTCTTGTGCCAGTACCAGGCTGTTTTGATTATAGTGGCTTTGTAGTATAACCTGAAATCTGGTATTGTGATCCCTCCAACTTTGTTCTTCCTTTTCAAGATTGCTGTGGCTATTCGAGGCCTTTTTTGGTTCCATGTGAACTTTTGAAGTAATTGTTCTAATTCTGTGAAGTATGCCATTGGTATTTTGATGGGAATTGCGTTGAATCTATATATTGCTTTGAGTAATATGGACATTTTAATGATGTTAATTCTCCCAATCCATGAACAGGGTATGTGCTTCCACTTTTTTATATCTTGCTCAATTTCTTTTTCAATGACCTGTAGTTTTCTGCGAATAGGTCCTTTATTTCTTTGGTTAAGTTTATTCTAGGTATCTTAATTTTTTTGCCGCAATGGTAAATGGGATTGTTTTCTTAGTTTCTTTTTCTGTGAGTTCATCATTGGTGTATAAGAATGCCATCGATTTCTTGACGTTAATTTTGTATCCTGCTGCTTTGGTAAATTCATTTATTAAGTCTAGTAAACTTTTGGTGGAGTCTTTGGGGTTTTCTATGTCCAGTATCATGTCATCTGCAAATAATGACAATTTCACTTCCTCCTTTCCAATTTGGATCCCTTTTATTTTTTCTTCCTGTCTGATTGCTGTGGCTAAGACTTCCAGTACTATGTTAAATAGGAGTGGCGAAAGTGGGCATCCTTGCCTTGTTCCTGTTCTTAAGGGAAATGCTTTTAGTTTTTGCCCATTGAGTATGATGTTGGCTGTAGGTCTTTCATATATGGCCTTTATTATGTCTAGATATGATCCCTCTATTCCCACACTGCTGAGCGTTTTTATCAGAAATGGATGCTGGATTTTGTCGAAGGCTTTTTCAGCATCTATTGATATTATCACGTGGTTTTTATTCTTCATTTTATTTATGTGGTGTATCACATTTATGGATTTGTGAATATTGTACCAGCCTTGCATCCCTGGGATGAATCCCACTTGGTCATCGTGGATAATTTTTTTGGTGTATTGCTGGATTCGATTTGCTAGTATTTTGTTCAGGATTTTGGCATCTATGTTCATCAGGGATATTGGCCTGTAGTTTTCTTTCTTTATTGTGTCTTTTTCTGGTTTTGGATTTAGAATTATGCTGGCTTCATAAAACGAGTTTGGAAGTCTTCCTTCTTCTTGAATTTTTTGAAATAGATTGAGGAGAATGGGTATTAGTTCTTCTTGAATATTCGGTAAAACTCCCCCGTGAAGCCATCTGGGCCTGGGCTTTTGTTTGCTGGGAGAGTCTTGATTACATCTTCAATTTCTTCTGTTGTTATTGGTCTGTTCAAGTTTTCTATCTCTTCCTGATCCAGTTTTGGGAGACTAGGTGTTTCTAGAAATTTGTCCATTTCGCTTAGATTTTCGAATTTGTTGCCATATAATTGTTCATAGTAGTTGTTAACGATCTTTTGTATTTCTGTGGTGTCAGTTGTTATCTCTCCTGTTTCATTTCTGATTTTATGTATTTGGGTTCTCTCTCTTTGTTTCTTGGTGAGTCTAGCTAAGGGTCCATCAATCTTGTTTATCTTTTCGAAAAAAACCAGCTCTTTGTTTTATTGATCCTCTGAATTGTTTTTTTGGCCTCTATGTCATTTATTTCTGCTCTGATCCTTACTATTTCCTTCCTTCTACTTGCTCTGGGGTTTTCTTTTTGTTTGTTCTCTAGTTCTTTAAGTTGTGAGGTTAGATAGTCTATTAGAGATTTTTCTTCTTTTTTGAGGTAGGCCTGTAGTGCTATGAACTTCCCTCTCAGAACTGCTTTCGCTGCATCCCATAGATTTTGTGTTGTTGTGTCTTCATTTTCATTGATTTCCAGGAAGTTTTTGATTTCTTCCTTGATCTCCTCGGTGACCCATTCATTGTTTAATAACATGCTATTTAGCTTCCATGTGTTCAAATGTCTTTGTATGTTCTTCTTGCAATTGATTTCTAGTTTCATGCCATTGTGGTCTGAGAAGATGCTTGATATAATTTCAGTCTTCTTGAACTTGTAGAGACTTAGTTTGTGCCCTAACATGTGGTCTATCTTTGAGAATGTCCCATGTGCACTTGAGAAGAATGTGAATTCTGTAGTTTTGGGGTGTAGTTCTCTGTAGATATCTATTAAATCCATTTGGTCTAGTGCTTCATTTAGAGTCTCTGTTTCCTTGCTAATTTTTTGTCTAGAGGATCTATCCAGTGATATGAGTGGGGTGTTGAAGTCCCCTGCTATGATTGTATTGCTATCGATTTCACCTTTGAAGTCCTCTAATAGTTTTTTAACTATATTTTGGTGCTCCTATATTGGTTGCATATATGTTTATCATGGTTATATCTTCCTGTTAGATAGATCCTTTCAATATTATGTAGTGGCCTTCTTTGTCTCTAGTTATGGCCTTCATTCTGAAGTCTATTTTTATCAGATATAAGTATTGCTACGCCAGCTTTTTTTTCTTTTCCATTTGCTTGAAAGATTTTTTTTCCATCCCTTCACTTTCAATCTATGTGAGTCTTTTGTTGTGAGGTGGGTCTCTTGTAAACAACATATAGATGAGTCATGCTTTCTTATCCAATCAGCTACTCTGTGTCTTTTTCACATCTTTACTCTTTACATTAGATCTCCTGAGCCTGGCCCTATGTTTATCATCTTGGATGGGCTCAAGATGCCTTAGTACAGACCAAAGCCAGACTTGCATGGCTCTGATCAACCCAGCCTGTTCACTTAGCCGGACAAAATGGACTAAGAACCCAGATGACATGAGAGGCATTTAAGGAGGCACAATGAACAGTACTGAATTCACTAAGTAAAGTGAGAAGACTTCAGGCCCAGGGCATCTCTCACCGGTCTGTCCACATGGAGTAGGTGGGATTCTCGGGTGCTCGTGCAGGTCAGTTAGCAAGGGCAGAGCAGATGCAGGCGGAGAGGGCAGAGCTGGAGCCAGGCCTCTGAGAGCAGAATGGACTTTGGAGGGAAAGCAGAGAGCCCGCAGGGCAGGTGGGAGTTACCAGTGGAAGCCCTTCCGTGGAGAGGCCGCCCTGGCCGTGCCTTTGCGCCCCTGGGAGCCCTCTCATGGGTGTGCATAGCAGAGTCGGGCAAGTGACCCGCAGGAAACCGGGCTCCTGTGTTCACTCGGGTTAGGAAGCAAAGGGTTTTCATGTAAACTTACACACCAAATACAGTTGAACAGTAAATTATAAAAGTTTTGGACGGTGTAAAAGCAATGGCAGGATCAGCAAGTGAGGGGAGGTGGGTGTTGAGAGGAGTGGAAGGAGGCTGATGGCCCTTCCTTCAGAGTAGGAGCCAGTCGTTAGTGCTTGGAGTTGATACGTGATTATTTGAATTGTTTCTGTTTCCTTTTTAGAATTGAAAGTAGTTAACATGAAGTGCCCAGAATGGCATCGACAGACGCAGTACCCAGTGGGTGCCAGGGGCTTGGGAAAGGGGGAACGAGGAGTGGCAGTGAAGGTGTGCGTGTCGGGCTTCCTTTGGGGGAGATACTGAACACAACTCTGAATGCTCTAAAAACCTGGGACTGTACACTTTAAATGGTAGATGGGGCTGTTCCCAGAATACAGCATCACGGTTTTCAGTGCTTGCGAGAAAACTGATGGGAGGAAGCGGCAGTACTTGATTTGCATGCACAGGATAAAATTCTTTGTCTACCTTAAAAAGTGGGCGTATTGTATGGTATGTGAATTCTATCACAATAAAGCTGTTACTTTTTAAAAAATGGTTAGAATAAATTTGGAAAATCCGTTGCCCATGAGGGTGATTATTTAGTGAGAACACCCTCCAGGAGCCGCGGTGCACACAGCGCAGGCTCTGCCCTGCCCCTGTCACTGCACACTGATTCTGTGTGGAGGGTGCGGTGGGCTCCGTTTGATACCAGTGGGAGGTATTTCTTTTCCCTCTGGAACTGTTCTTTGTACAGGCAGTGAGGCTTATGTAACCTTTTATGTTTCCATTTTTGTTTAGTTACCAAGAAGCTCAAATGCCAAATGGCGAGTGGGTGATGCTGCTAGACCAGGCTTTCGTGTTCCCGGTGCTGGCTCTGAGTGGGCTCTCACTGTTCTGGGTCAGCAGCCTCCTCTGGGAGTGCTCTTTACTCTGCACTGTCTCCAGTTTTATTTTGGAAGAAGGGAATAAAAATGATAAATAATAATAAAAATTATTCCCATCCCGTTTTTGTTTTTTTGGTAAGAAGCTGTTTTTTTCCATGTGTTGTAGCTATTGAAAAGGGCTTTTCTCCTTTTCATTTTTATCAAATATTAACTTTTTAAAATAACAGCTTTATTGAGATATAATTCACATCCTGTACAGTTCATCCACTTAAAGTACGTATAATTCAGTGATATTGAGAACATTCAGAGAATTGTACAGCCAGCACCACCATCAGTTTTCGAACATTTCACCCTCCTAGAAAACCTCCTGCTCATTAGCAGTCACTCTCCATTTCTGCTCAGTCCACTCAGCCCTGGGAGCCTCTTTCCTTAATCTACTTTCTGTCTCTGTAGATGTACATGATCTGGACACTTTATATGAAAGGAATCATACAAGACTGGTCATTTTCTTTTTTTTTTTTATCCTTATCCGAGGACATTTTTCCATTTTTTTGTACAGATAGAGTGGGAGGAAGAGAGAGGAAGAGACAGAGAGAGAGAAACATCGATGTGAAAGGGACACATCAAGTGGCTGCCACCCGCACGACCAACCAGGGCCGGGGACAAACTGCAACCGAAGTACGTGCCCTTAGCGGGAACTGAACCCGGGTCTCTCCGGACCACAGGCCGATGCTCTAACCGCTGAGCAAAACCGGCCAGGGCAAGACTGGTCATTTTCTGTCTGGCGTTTTTACTTAGCATAATGCTCATCCATGTTGTAGTGGGTGTCAGTACTTCATTTTGTTTTGCTGAATTGTATAGAAAGAACACATTTTTATCTCTTCATGGAAATTTGGATTGTTCTACTTTCTGACTATCGTGAATCATGTTAAGAGCATCTGTGTACAAGCTTTTGTAGGAACATATATTTTCATTTCTCTTGGGTGTATACCTAGAAGTAGAATTGCAAGGTCATATGGTAACTCTATGTTTAAACTCTTAAGAAACTGCCAGACTGTTTTCCAACACAGCTGAACTATTTTCCATTCCTATCAGCAATGTAGGAGTGTTCCAGTTTCTCCACATCCTTGACAACACTTTTTATTTTCTCACTTTTTCCTATAGCTGTTCTAGTGGGTGTAGGTTTATCAAATCTTACTCCAAGAAACAAAGGTAGTGTTCACATTGACTAAAAATACTGTTGAAGTTATGGTAGACCCACTGTCCTCTTCGGAGATTTGAGAATGTATCAGATTCCAGATCACACCAGAAAGTTACTTGGTTTTATGATGCTCTTGGTTTTTTTCTCTTGATTCAAAGGTGGTGGTTACCAATACAATTCCACATGAAATCCAGAAGCTCCAGTGCCCCAAAATTAAAACTGTGGATATCAGCATGATCCTCTCAGAAGCCATCCGTCGGATTCACAACGGGGAGTCCATGTCCTACCTGTTCAGAAACATAGGCTTAGATGACTGAGGAGCTTCTCTTCTTTAAAACTCCCAAGGGCCAAACTGGAGACACGGGAACGAGGACTGTGAGAGCTCACGCCCGATGTGATGCATTTCCCAGGGGCCATTCGTATGTTTTGTTCCTTTTTGTTCATTACTATGAAGATAGATCAACTTTTTATTTTGATTTGGGTGTTTGTGAGTTTTGAGGCAAATTTTATAAAAGAAAAACTATATTCTCCTCTTAAATAAGTTAAGATCTTGTTGTTTTTAGTTTAACTATTTAAAATATACCTTGGAATAAGATTTTTAAGCTCAAACAGCCTTTCTTCAAAATTGTTAGAGCCCAAGTGCTTAAAAAAATTAATAAAATACAATGGTCTACTGTATGCTACCTGCAATTAAAAAGCCAAAAAAACTATACTGTTGAATCCAGTAAATGACATATTTAGAAATGCTTTTCTAGACAAGCATATGGAATATGTGAACATTATTTATTTTCTGCAAGAAAAGAAGGAATAAAAACTTACTGTGTTTGTGATTTTTTTACACTTTGTGTTTTGGCAATTGTTTTATAACTGAAATAAAATGAAAGCTGAATATACATGCTGTGGATGTTGAAATGTTTATCACCTTGATGAAGTTTTCTCTGTGGCAGCCTTTTGGGGGACATGGGAGCCTCATAGGGATGTAATGTTCCCCGTTCTACCTGTCCAGAACCCTGCACATTCCTACATGCAGTCATTTGACTGTGGCAGGAGAGGAACTTGAATCCAAGACTGGGGAGGGTGGGGGCTGTGCTCCTTGTTTGACTGCACAGCCATTCTCCAAACAGAATTGGGGATGAGATGCTGGAGTGGGTCACAAAGAGCAGGTGATATGATTCTTGTCAATGTCAAGCATGTAAGCCTGTCTGTCCTGGAGTTTAGAACTCAACACTTGTACCTTAGTTTATCAGACTGGAACACTGAAGTCCCCTGAGTTACAGCAGGGTGTTCGTCCACGAAGGTCACGTGGCAGTCCCATTCAATTAATGGGCTAAAAACTAAAATGTTGTCACCAAGAAAAATAGTACTTTTTTCTTCCAAAAAGCCTTAAACTTTTGCTTTCTGCCTGTTTATGGTAGAACATGGAATAGAATTGTTGACTTAGCACAGAGTTAAAGTTAGTCGCTTACTGTTTGCCATGCTGGGGTTTCTTGGCACTCCCCAGAAAGCAGTGTGACTGACGGGAGCTTCCCCTGGAGCAGCCTGGGGCCCTGTGTGCAGAGCACCGAGACCCACTTGCGGCAGCTGCCTGGAATACTGGGTGGTCTGCAGATCCCCTCCTCGCTTATCACATCTGCCAGTGCCCAGCTCCCTGCGGGCCCAGCATGGGTCACTCCTGAGGAAACCAAGCAGAGAAAGGTTTCCACACCCTTTAAGTTTTCTAATCCAGTTAATAATCGAGATGGCCATGTTGAAAATGTGTTCTTGCTTTTGAGAACCTGTTCCTAGAAATGGGAATGCAAGATCTTCACAGATGAGCTTAGGAAACATCCTAGTGATAGCTGCTTTGGCCAGTGCAGCTCATGTTACTAGCAGGTTGTCATCATCTAACCAATTGCCACATTTGGAAGAAGAGCTTTGAGTTGTCAGGTGTCACCTTCGGTGAGAGGAGCCAACCCATGCCTGTTGGACCTTCTGAAATTAGTTCTCTGAAGTGGGCTGAAGCAGCTTCACAGCAAGTGTCACATCTTCAAGACTGCGATCTTGTTCCTCAAACCCCATATTTTGTCCCTTTTGGCACCATATTACTGTTGAGCTCATTCAGTAGGAAATTTCCTCTAGTGGCTGTGTCCCATGAGGTTTGGCCTGCATGGTTTTTCTTAATGTGTCATGTTCCATGAAGAAAAGTCAAATGTATAGAAGAGAAATGAATGAAAAAAATGTTTTCTTCTGTGTGATGAACTTGTAAAACTGGCTCTGGGCCTTTCAAATCCACAGAGACTTGGGTGTGTGCTCAGAGCTGGCTCTGGGGGGATGTGAAGAACACCTGAAAGAACCCACCATGAAGTGGGGGTTGAGACCCAGGCACTCGGCAGGCCTTAGAGAGTGAAGGTGCAAGGAGAAGAAACAGCTATTCCACGTAAGGATTAGGAAAATAGGTGGAGAATGGGAAGAAGGAATAACGTGAGCAAAGGCTCAGAGATGTGGTAAGTGTCACGACATAGCCCATTGTGGCTGGAGCAGGAGAAAAGGTGCTCAGGTGGGGGTGCAGGATAGAGGCCTTTCAGGGAAAGTGTAAGAGGTTGGGCTTTGCTGTGTTAGGAGCACAGGGTTCTGAGGGCCAAACAGCATGGAAAAATAAGTCTCACCTGAGCCCCTCAGTCACCTAGGTCCCCTCCCAGAAAAAAACAAAAATCAGGGTTACCAGAATTTTGTGTACTGTAGGCTTTTCCTGTGCCAGAAAAGTACCCTCCAAACTACTTACTGTCTCCACTTAATCAGCCAGAAAAATGGGGAGTTGAGCTTAGAAATTTCTAGAACAGAAAAACACTAACAGTGTCTAATTTTGATTGATTATGATGTCACCACTCGCAGACAGATGTGGGTCAGAACTATGCTCTTGGAATTAATGCATGTATAAATGAACACTGATTCGGCCACTACTGTGTGCCAGAATGGTATTCATTTGGTTCTCATAATTTATTATATCCAAAGTCCCAACACTGACTCAGGAAGCGAGGATTCAGACGGAAGCATCCTGCTTCACAGCACGATGCTCTTTCCAGTCATTTCAGGCATATCCCAACTCGGATGAGAAAGCACTAAGACATCTCTTGCTGACCTTCAGGCTGCACAAACAAGAAGTGAGGGCTAAGAGCTGTGAACTGCCTGGCTGGGTGCTGAAGGCCTGTTCCCAGACGCACACAGACCATCTGTAGGCTAGGAGAGAGATTTTTTCTTTTTTTGGGTTTCAGGCTTTTAAGGAAGTCTGTGATGACCCTGGTTGACTATTCAGTTAACAGATTTCAATTGCTACAAACAAACATTACAGACTTTACAAAATTAGTTCAGAAAAACCACCACACAAACATAAACAACTATAAGCAGCAATAAACCCTGGGGAAAGAAGAGAATTTGATTTTCAGACTTTACACATTATAGTCTGCAAAATGTCCATTTTTCAACAGCAAAAAATTCTGAGTCATGTAAAATAACAAGATTGGGCCCACCCTTGAGGAAACCCAGTCAAATTTACTAGACAAAGACTTTCAATCAACTATCTTAAATATGCTCAAAAATAAAGGAAACCATGAGAATGATGTCTCACGAAATAGAGAATATCAATGAAGAGATAGAAACACTAAAAATGAACCAAACAGGACTTGGGGCAAGATGGTAGAGTAGAAAGCACCAGAAATCTGACTCCCCATCTACACAAAAACTGCAGTAGCAAAATCCGTCTAATACAACACTTGGAACTCTGGAGTCGCTTAAAATGTTTGCAACCTCCAGAAATCTTGAATGGTAAATTGTGGTTAATTTTCGTCAATTTGAGCTCTTAGCAAAGCAGCAAATACTTATTCTTCAGCCCAGCCCAGTGGCAGGCAGCAGTGCATGTGTTCCTGGAGCAATCCACACATGCTTGTGGAAGCCAGACTAGGTAAAAATGGTCTGTTTTCCAAATAGTGGTCACTGTGCTGATTGTGGCTTCTGATCACAGAGATACAGACAAGGAGAGTGTGCACTAGAAAAAGAATAGCAAATTAAATCCAAAGTAAGCAGAAGAAAAGAAATAATAAAAACTAGAGCAGAAATCAATGAAATTGACAACAGAAACTCAGTAGAGAAAATCAATGAAACCAAAAACTAGTTCTTTGAAAAAAATGAATGAAATCAATACACCTTTAGCCAGGCTAACTAATAAAAACAAGAGAGATGACTAATACCAGAAACAAAAGAGGGGACATAACTAGATCCCATGGACATAGAAACTAACTATCAAGAAGGAATACTATAAACAACTGTATGTCCGCAAATTTGATACCTAGATTAATGAACAAATTTCTGTTTTTTAATCCTCACCTGAGGATGTTTCTAAATTGATTTTTAGGGAGAGAGAGAAACATTGATGTGAGGAACATTGATCAGTTGCCTCCTATACACACCCCAAATGGGGATTGAAACCTGTAACCTAAGTGTGTGCCCTAAGAATCAAACCCACAACCTTGTGGTGTATGGGATGACACTCCAACCAACTGAGCCATCCAGCCAGGGCATGAACCAATTTCTTGAAAAACGATCTACTAAAACTCACATAAAAAATAAACAATCTGAATGGGCCTATGCCTATTTAAAAAAGAACCTTTCCCCCTGGCCAGTTTGGCTCAGCAGTTAGAGCATCGGCCCACGGACCAGAGAGTCCTGGGTTCAGTTCCCACTGAGGGCACGTACCTCAGTTACAGTTCATCCCTGCCCCTGTTGGAGTCTTGTGGGTGGCAGCCACCCAATGTGTCTCTCTCACGTAGATGTTTCTCTCTCTCTTTCTCCCTCTCTCCCTTCCTCTATCTGAAGATAAATGCAAAAAAAAAAAAAAGTCCTTGGGTGAGGATAAAAAAAAAAGAACCTTTCAAAACAGAAAGCACCAGGCCAAGATATGTTCTCTGTGAATTCTACCAAACATTTACAGAGGGAATTGCACCAGTTTTCTAAAATCTCTTTCAGAGGATAGAAGCAGAGGGAATACTTTCTAATCATCCTATGAGGCTGGCATTACTCTAATACCAAAACAAGACAAAAACATTACAAGAAAAGAAAACCAAAGACCAATGTCTCTCATGAACAAAGTGGCAAAAGTTCTCATCAAAATATTAGCAAATTGAAACAAGTGATGTATAAAAAGAAGTATACACTGTGACCAAGGGGGATTTATCCCAGGTATACAAGGTTTTTTTAACTTTTGAAAATCAATATAACCCATGATATTAATAGGCTGAAAAATACATGATTATATCTATAGATATAGAAATAGACAAATTCAACACCCATTAATGATAAAAACTCAGAAAACTAGGAATAGAAAGAAAACTTCCTCAACCTAATAAAGAATATTCACAAACAATAATGGTAAAAAATTAGAAGCTTTCCCTCTAAGATCAGGAAAAAAACAAAAATGGCCCCTCTTACCACTCCTTTTCAACATCATACTGGAAATCATAGCTAATGCCATAAGACACAAAAAGGACATAAAAGGTATGCAAATTTGGAACAAAGAAATCACACTTCCTTTTCTCAGATGGCATGATCATCTATGTGGGAAATGTGAAAGAAAAGACCAAAAACCTCCTGGAACCAAGAAGTGATTATAGCAAGTTGCAGGATATAAGTCAATTACTTTCCTTTATACCAGCAATGAAGAAGTAAAATTTGAAATTTAAAACAATGCCCGGCTGGTGTGGCTCAGTGAATTGAGCATCATCCGATGGACTGAAAGTTCCTGGTTTGATTCCCAGTCAGGATACATGCCCGGGTTACAGGCTCAATCCCCTGTGGGGGGCGTGGAGGAGGCAGACGATTGATGTTTCTCTTTGACATTGATGTTTCTATCTCTCCCTTCCTCTCTCTCCAAAAAATTATTT